TGAGTGAATGAATGTGTGAATGAATGAATTTATGAATGAATGAACGAATGAATGAATGAGTGGGTGAGGGAGTGAATGAATGAACGAATGAGTGAACGAATCTATGAGTGGATGACTGAGTGAATGAATGAATCGATGAATGAAGTTAGCATCTAGGTAAAATCTTTCTACCTACATCATGAAATGTCAGTGCTATCAATGTGTTGTGTCTGTCATCAGTGTCAGTTTGAGATCAATTTCAGAACCTGATACGATTCTACGGTTTGCAAGCAGATGTAGTGCTCAATTCTCGGACAGACAACGAGAAACTAGATGGCGGTGTAATCCATGAGGATATTTCGTCTTCGAGGAGTTATATATTTCTATTTTGATGTTTTTCCAAGGAATATAATAGGATCGGTTCCTAAACAGTGTCAGTGACGAAATTGGTATTGCTTTAACGAAAAGAGATCAATCTACGCATAGTATGTACTTGATCGCCGGTAAGATGTAGACCGATTAAATGGCCCCATAGACATCTAGTATCAAGACACTATAAACAGAAGACTCGGTTTGGACAAATTATGTGTTTGGAATGATTCAAAGTCTTACAGCACCAAATCGGAAAGCAATTGAGAAGATAACGCTGCAGAATATTCCCAGCGGTTTCAAGGAATCTCCGTACGGAGAATCGCGACATCTAAATATGCACTCATCCATCCATTTTCATTTCAGGGCCAACATTTTCTCTTGTACAGGAGACAGCAGCTTGAAGAGGATTTTTTCAGTGATTACAGTCTTCTGATAATCAAGTAAATCTTATGCATGGATTCTGCAGAGTGACAAAGCCAGGTCTTCGATAAACCCAAAACAATTTGGCTTTTAGTCTTCCCATTTTCAACGTGCCATGTGATTTCTCCAAAGCATCCTCCTTAAGAGTCGCTTCTTCGTTATCCTGATGTCTGATTGAGCATCAGTTGAAATTCATGGTTCAGAATCAGAGCAAATTTTGGGCTTTACTATCTAATGCTGACCGGCAGTAATATCTGAAATGGTATCAATGTATTTTCGAGTACCTGGCCGACTCTTTATGCGCTTGCACGTAAGTTGACACTTATTGTATATAGCTTATGTTTACACTTAGCCTGTTGCATGGTGACACATGTGCCGACGAGAACAATTTCGAGTTCCGGAGGTGCGGGTTCGATTTCATTGGACAATCCTTCTTTTAAACACGAATGCTCTTGAGCGATGAATTTGCCACACGTAGCTTCAGACTGGGATGGTTCAGTCAGTTTAGTGTCAGACACGGAACCAACAGGTGCTGAGCTCAAGACCCGTTGGGGAATAATGGCCTTTCTTCCTTCCGAGGTTGATAAATGAAATAAACGAGCGCCACTCTGTGAGAAAGAAAAAACAGGAAACAACACTCTATGCGTGCGACATAGCTACTGTCGACTCTGCCTATGAAATAAGGCATTCCTGACTAACGATATGGAAATATAGCCATATCAATACCTTCACAAATAATTTCATAAAAGGAAAGGTACCTGCAACGGCCCCATCATTAAAGTGTCAGGAAGATCGACCTTCCAACGATTACAAACTTTGCTCTTCTTCTTTAGAGTGAAGTCCTAGACGACAATGTAAACAATGATCTCCTGAATTCTATTCCATGACCTCAACAGTTCTCGATGACCAGAAAAGTGCATACAGTGATCATTTGGTTCTGATCGAAATGCTAATTTTCCTTTAAATTTTCTTCCTCCAAGAAAACTGATCTGCACACACATGTACGAGCAACTCTAAATTTACCTTTATATATGAACCCACCCTACTATTGATTATTAATCCCAATGACACCTCAAATTGCATTTGTGGTCGTTTCAACCATTCTTCCAAGCGTTCATCATGCAT